GGAGCAGAGACCCCCTGTATCCTGTGGTGAGACGGCAGGGCGGCCCCCCCCTGCCACCCATGAAGATCTACGGTGGAGCAGACACTGATTTGTGGCCTGTGGCTCCTGCTCGCATAATCAAGGTGCTGTGCCCGAAGAAGGCCGGGGTCTCATGGGAAAAGGTAGCCCCGCTGCTGTAATTCAGTGCTGGGAGGATTGCAGCATGAGGGGGAGTCCCACGCCAGAGCAGCTCGGGAAGGGCTGCAGCCGTGGGAGGGAATCCAGTCAGAGGAAGTTAGTGACCCATGACGGAGCAGTGTGGGGAACGCTGCGGCCCATGGGAGGAATTCATGTCAGAGAAAGTTTGTGGAGGACTGTCTCCTGTGAGAGGGGGACCACGATGGAGCACGAGGAACAAGTTTTGGACACTCCCCTCACCGAACATGAAGGAAGTGGCAGCGCTGGCTGCACCCCCCGTTCCCTGCCCCTGCGGCACTGGGGGAGGAGGTAGAGATATCGGGAGCAGAGCTGAGCCCGGGAAGAAGGGAGGGGTGGGGGGAAGGTGTTCTCAAGATGTGGCAATGCTTCTCACTGTCCTACTCTGTTATGTGTTGTTAGTGTCTGTAATAAATGTATGTTCTTTTTTTTCTTCCCCTAACGAGTCTGCCTTTTGCTCATGATCATAAAGGGGAATTTTTTTTCCCCATCCCAGTCCTATCTTGAACCCCAAGCCTGGCTCTCTGTCCCTTCTCATTGCCGGAGGGGAAGGGAGAGAGAGGTGCTGCATTGTGGTTGGCTGCCAACCAGGCCCAAACCACGACACTTGGGTATGTATTTGTGTGACAGCATAAATGTGCTTGGGGAAGTTTTTGCAGGAGAGCAGCCCAGCTCAAATTTTGAAGCATTGAGCTGTGATTGCTTGAGCTGGGGCTAAGCAGGAACCGAATGCATCTGCTGCCTGGGTTATCTGGCCTTTGTCTCCCCTGGGAAAGGCAGGATGGGACCACCAGGCTTCCTATGGAGAACAGCATTTTGGAGGGGAGAATTCCTCTCCCAGGCACACAGCAGCAGCCATCATTACTTATGTTGCAAGTGTATTTTTCCAAGTGCAGAAATCAATTCTAAATATATTATGGCTTTAATTACACCACTCTGCATGTGATGCAGGGAATGGGTTATTAGGCTGCTGGATGCTAATATTCTACTAGGATGAGTTGGTAATTTTGGTTGGGTTTTTTTTTGCTTTGTTTTGTTTGTTTGTTTGTTTGTTTGTTTTTTTGTGTTTTTTTTTTCTTTTTTGTTGTTGTTGTTTTTTTCTTTTTTTTTTTTTTTTTTCCTCATGCTTTTCCTGCTTTGGATAGCAAAATATTGCATGCAAGAAGGCAAAAGTTCATGGCAGCATTGAACTAGCATTTAGGCTCAAAGCAAGAGTGGGCAGACCAAAACTTCTCCACTTTTTTCCAATATGACTCAATATCTAGGTTACTAGCAGCACATGGGTTTCAAAGGGCAGGGAGGGAGTATTTATCAGAAAGTCATTCATATCCACTGCCAGATAGATTCTTCTGCAGTGTAATCAAAAAGTCCTGGGCTTCACTGGGTTTTGGTTTAGCACCCAGGATACATGGATGGGTGTTCAAGAGCAGCAAATTCAGACCTGGGGTGTAGCCTGGCTCTTCCATGTCTGATTCAAAGAAAGGGACAAAATTTACTGCCGTGGTGTGCCACTAGACTCACTCTTAGCAAGCAGAATCAAAGCCTGGGTGTTGGAACTAAACGTAGGGCTTTGTTTCTACCAGTGAAACAAGAGCAGTGATACTATAGCTCTCACAGACAGGGTCTGGGCTATCTCTTCATGCTTTCTAAGGTCACCTGCAGTCAGGTCTGTCTATGCAGGTAACCCTGAGAGTCTTTAAAAAGTCAGACCTAAGGAAACAACCAAGGCACTATGAGCACAAATCAGAGCCTTGATGAAGAGCTTGGCTTTTCCCATCTAAACTATCTGTCTTTCTCTCCCTGGTATCAACACCAGTATTGATCTTTCCAAGTCATTTAGTTTGACAGTCTGCATGATGACATGATATACCAGATGCTGTCTGCTCCAGCAAGTAATGAGTTCAGATATTTTGCTTCATATATGAATGCAAGAGGCCATTGCCCTCACGTTGTAAGGCCTTGGCCTATCCTCACATCAAATCTCATAAATGATACAAGATTGAGCTGGCTTCACCTTAGCATCTTCCAAGGGAGTGGGTCTGGTGATTGAAGGAACCGTATAATCTCTGCTGAGACTGAACTCCACATCCTGGGAAGTCTGAGAGAGGCTATGCAAGCACTTATTTTTGTTCTGAGATTTCCAGATGTTAAAACATATCCATACATCTTTTCTCAATCATGGGATAGGGGGTCAACCAGATCCACTAGAGCATGGTACCTGATCTTTACCAATGTGTGAGTGCTTGAGCTGCTCTTGTCTCTAGAGCAGGTTATGCTGTTGTACCATGCTGTTTAAAAGATCCATGTGCTGCCCTGGCAGAGGCTATGTTTCAGAGGACATGGAGTTCAGCCATGGGCTGTACTTGGATGAAATCAAAGGAACTGGTTATGGCTAGAAAATAGCTTTCCTTGGTTCCATCATTTATCAATGACAGAAAGCACGCACATTGCACTTTTCTCTGTGACTGGATTTATAGTCGGATAAAGTCAATGGCCGCCTCTTCACTGACTGAAGAGGATTTTTGGGTTAGTTTCTCAGTTACCATCTGGTACAGTAAAAGTATACCGCCTTTGCAAGTCAAGGAAAAATAACCCACGTTACACAAAATTTTACTCTCCTAAATGGTCTGCGTTCCTTTTATGGCACTATTTCCCATAACTAAGCTGTCTTAGGAAGTCTATTTTGTTATGGTACAGAAAAGATAGTTCTCTTCTTCTCCAGACGACTTCCAAATACACCTTTCAGTTGTATTTTTTGCTTTTTCTTCAGTGCAGTCGAAGGCTTAATGCATGTGGGCCTTTAACGGATCTGGTTTTTTAAGACCTGTCTGCCTTCCTTTGTGAATATTCTTTGTGGGGCAAGGAAATTACACTTTTCTTACATCACCTCCCATAGCAGGAATTTCTCTGAAGTGTGGGGTTCCTTTTCCTTGCCATTGTGTCCTCATAGACCCCTGCAAACACTGAGAAATTCTGTATATAAATCAGACACTTATTCACCTCTTAAAAATACTCAGTCTTTTTCTTTTTCCAAATGGTATTTTTCAGGAGTTCTTGACACTCATGTGTGAATTAGCTGTGCATTTGGAAGGTTGAAAAGCTTTTAGTGAGTAAATCTCTAATAACTCCCAGTCTGAGGTTCTCAACATGGTTACAGCGTCAGTGGAGGGGAGATTACAGAGTGTTAACAGAAACCTGGGAAGCGTTCTGAGAAGGATCATGAACCAGTCTCTTCCTCCCATCCTTCATCTTACCTCCATAGGGCTTGCTACTTTGGTGTCCATGGGAAAATCCTGGTTATTATTTCTTACAAACAAGGAATCAAGGCAAGAGGATTGTCTGGAGCATTCCCCATTTCCAGAATCATGTTATTTCTCTTGCGTGTAAAAGAAAAAATTTTCTCTCCCTACAACTTCCCTTGTAGTCATCAATCTCCTGTTGTGTTACAGCCAGGGGAGGAGAACAGCTGCATTTGCATTACTACAGATCATTTTCTCATAACCTGAAGATTTTCCCATCCCAACAGAAGACATGATCTCCATCTATGTTTATCTTTAATCTCATTCCATTGCCTATGCTTCCTTATGAGATTTCATTAAGTGTCCCTTATGCTTATCTTGGACAAATTTAAAAAAGCATGTAAGATCGGTGTGATGAGAAGGTGATGAGAAAGTGTGCTCTCAGAGTTACGTAGCAGGTAGGAAAGAAATAATGATTGCAAGATACGTGAATGCTATTTCTATGAGGGTCAGAGTTAAGGTTAATTAAATGTCTTCATTGTGCATTGTCTTCCCCTTAAGGTGTTTGAGAGCCTTCTAAGAGAACCATTGACTCTGAACAGCCAAGGTTTTTAATGAATATTTTTATTGATTTTGCTTGCAACAGGTTTGCTCTTAACTTACCTACATGTATTCTTCATGTATTTTGCCTTGAAATTCTGTTTAAATTTTCCTAATTCAATATAACTAACCGGTAAATTTTTAATCAAGTATGGCATGTAAATATTCCTACTTTTTAAAACAAAGCCATGAAAGTTCATATAATATTTTTTTTAGTCTTTCTACAAACATTATATGAATAAAATACTCTGAAAATTACATGAAGCTAACTAATGCAGCTCCTATTGAACTAGACAATTAAACCATCTGAATATGAACAGCTTGGTCATATGCAAAAAGATATGTTTTAGCATTTCATACATTATACGGAATTTAATATTAAAAATAACATTTTTGCATCTAGGTAAAGATCTGAAAATTGTTAGGTCTCTTCTTTATAACCTGCATGTTAGTGTGAGAGATTTAAATGGATATTAAGTATGAGCATTCACAATTCATTCCTTCTATATGTTTGAGCATTTCCTTGCAACAAGCCTGCTTCTCAGCTTGCATGAAAGTTACTGTTTCACTGACATGGAGATGAGAAATTGTGAGAGTTAATGGAATGATGAATCTCCACTGCTTGAAGACTTTCAATCAAATCTGGCTGTCTTGGAGAGTTATTGTTCTCATTGTAGGAAAAACTAAAGAAGATAGTGACCTATGCCCTTTTTTAAGGCCCTTTTCTGGCCTCAATATGATGTCTCTGATGCAAATTGATTTTTTTATATGCTCAGTCTAGCCAGATCTTCTGGAGCTCTCAGCTCCTGCTGACAGTACTGAATGTGTTTTTGGGAATGCTCTTGACCTGACACTGGTTCAGTTAGAGTTCTCTTGGGGCAATGCTATGGAGCTCCATGATATTTTGGTTTCTCACTTTCTGTAAATCTTCAAGTAACTGTAGTCTGTGTTTGGACTGTGGTGCAGGTGATCTACACAGAGGTCTCCAAAGTCCTTGTCTCTGATTTTCCAAACTGGGGACCCAGCTGGAACATCCTTGCTGATCCGTGTGCCTATTCAAAAGACAACTGGATTGAGGGACAGGGAGAGGTACGTGGTGTGTCCTGACACTGAGCTGGGGTGTAGGCTGAGAATCTCTCATGAGTGGCCAGGATAGTCACAATCTTGACTTAAATATGTTACCATTCAGTGGTGGCACCTCTTCTCCACAGGAGTCAGGATGATGGGGCAGCTGCATGTGTACGGGGAGTGGATCCCAGGTCTGGGATGCTGCAGGTGGCACATGCTACACAGGTATGTCCCTTCCCCACATATAGATGCACCTGAATCTGGAAGCAACTTAGTCCTCGGGGAAGCTCCTACCACTCATAGGTGTGGAAACTTACTCAGGGATGTAGGTGAGAGAGGATCTTCTGCCCACACCCTTCCACTGGGGCAGGGTGGAAACCCCAGACTGTCAGCTGGGTGCTGGAGGAACCCTGGGAGCGCTGATAAATGTTTACTGTGTAGTTAGCTGGTCCCTCTACAAAAGCGTGCATCAACATCTCATTTACTGGGGTGGTCTCAGGCAGCCAGACACCCAATTCCACCTTTTTTAAATGAAGCACCCATGCTTTGACTAAGACTAAAGGATGAAGTAGTCCAACAAACCCCAAGCAAACCCATGCCTTCTGAGAGAGGATTTACTCAGCCACTGCTTACAAGAAGTGAGAGTCCAATCTCAAGAATGATCACTGATCTTGCTCTGATTCTTATTCTTTCCATGAGCATCTGCTGCTGGTCACTGGTAGAGACCAGAAACTGAGGAAGACCAAACTGTGGTCTGAACTGTGCTGGTATTTCTTATAGCCACACTGGGAGTTATTTTTGATGGTTCACATTTTACCACTGCTTGTATGGACAAAGATTTAATGTTTCTACAGGTCACAACTGATTTCATCTACGTCATGTGGTATTAAAATTCCAACTCTAATATGTATAGTTCGAATAATGTTTAGCAGAAGGTGGGAAATGTCTAGTGGTTTGAATTTATAGCTCAGCAGCTTCTTGGGAGTCAGTCTCAGTACTTGGAATTATGACCAACACTTCACATGTAACATAAGTGAAGCAGTGTATTGTCCACCTCATATTATTAAACAGCTGGAGATGAAGTAGGTAAACTGGAAGGGTTCAGTAGGCCACATGATTTAAATGCTAAGCTGGATGTCCATGCTATTCTTACACTTTTCCTGCATCGGTTCACAGATGCCTACCTTATAAGAGACTTAAACTTGTTAGAGGTCTTGTGGGCCTTACTGCTGTTTGTTACTCATATAGCAAAATCTCTCAGGTCTTTTTTGTTTTTACAAAAGGAAATGTTCAGTTCTGCTCCTGTTCAAACAATCTATCAGCTGTGTTATAAAATACAACAGTACAGATCTGAGACCATTAGTTAAAGACATAAAGAATCACGCCCAAAGTTGTAAACATAAATTTTTGTGAATTATTTTTTTATTGAAGTATGTTCAGGAAATTTACATATAGATTAAACCCTAAATATACCAAATGTCAGTCTGTTTACATCATGATACCTTCGCATTGCTGCTGTGTATGGATTGGGTTCAGAGCTGGAACATTCTCCTCACTGCCTCTAACTAAAACACTACAGTGGTGAGGGTTAAAAGAGATCCTTATAGGCCACAGACATGCTGAGGAGGTTTCAGTTGTTTGGACTTTGGCATGAACTTGTCAGAATTTTAATACATGTTGCCTGAAAAGCTAATGAGCCTCCATCTGGAGACATATAACTGATTACAGGCTCAATTATTTCTCCTACCTGAACAGCTCAGTCCTTTGTTCATACTCTCTTCCATAAAAACAACAGCAGCAGCAGCTTCTCCTTGTCGGAAGGAGGTAATCTTTGCTGAAGGCTGTTATTCCATGACTTGTACCCCATGCAGGCAAACACCTAATTTCTATTTGGCTTTGTCTGTTTTCCCCTCTAAATTTCATTTCTTGGGCATTTTAAATGCCTCCTCCCTCAAGATGATCTTGTAGTGCTTAGCATTTCATCAGGATGGATGTATAGATGATATCAATATCCTTGTCTTCACGGATGGGGCGGTATAATCTAATAGCTGAGGCACTCGAGGGGTCAGAACTGTGCGATAATGTAGAGTGATCACTTCTAACTAAAATATGATAGCACAGAAGGAGAAAATAAAAGCTTATGGAGCAAAAGAAGGCAGAAGGTGCATTTGAATTGTTTGGATAATGATATAACACAGCAGGAATACTTCCACAAAACCTTACCAATAGAGCCTGGCTGTCAAGGCAAAGAATTTGAAATCTGCCTTGTAGACTCACTATTTCCTGCTACAATCCCCTTCTTTCATCTTTCTGTCTTCATCTGGAAAGTTATATTCTGTCTAAATAAAGATTGTGCACAGCACCTGGGTCTGTGTGAATTCAGCACCAGTTGGATCTCTGGGTTGCTAAAGCGAGGTTGAACAGAGGTGATTGTTGCACCCTCACTATCTGGAGCACTTTGCTGCAGGATTTGGGAACCAGAGAGAATAGATGAAGTTTCTAAAAGTATAATAACTCATTTGTGAATTTTAGTTGATGCGTTTATTCCTCCATCAGTTTGGTGGTTCAGTTTTTATGGACAGTTTTATTTTACAGAATACTCACCATAAGGTTTTTCTTCCTCTCCCTTTTGCTTTATTCCCATGAGCTGAAGCCAGCCTGTCAGGGGTGACCAGGGTCCTCTCCAGTTCAATGAGGGCAGAATAAAATAACTTTGTTAATGAATTGGGCATAGCTTATGTCAGCCTGTTCTGCTGGATGATACCAAGATCACTGAACCATGGGTGATAGGCTGCAGTTAGCATCTGCTTTTTAGTCACGAAGTAAAGATTAGAAGATCTGTGTCAGTGAGGGAGCGGGATCTATAAACCCTGATGAAACAGCAGGTAACAGCCACATGATGATAAGGGCATTAGGATTTCCATCCTACTTCACAGGAATGTAAAAGAAGTTTTTGACTTGCTGTGGATGGGAGGAAACAATTCTGTGCAAGCAATAACTACTTTCAAAGAGATGCAAAAAGGTTTTCCTTGGTTGCCTAAAATGTCCGTCTGAGATGCTAACTACCTATGCCTGGCTCTTGCAGTCAGCTGGAGAAATGTCCCCAGGTCTTCAAGGCAGCTGTGAAATGAAAACTTTCTCCTAACAGATGATACATTCCCTTTATTAGTTACAGCCTGGTGGCCACTGTCAAACATGTATTAATTATTCCTATATTTTTTCTTTTTTAGCACCTGCAAGAAGCTTTTCCCTTCCATAAGCAGCTCTTTATTGACCAGCAGTTTGTTATTGATTTCTGTATTCAATAAAAAGTGTGGTAAATGGGGACATTAAATTACTGTAGTGCTCTCACTTTTAAAAATGCAAGAGAAAGTAGGACACTATGATGAGTTTTGTTAACACACACAAGGTAGAAGGAGAAACTTTGGGGAAACTGCCTGAAATTTGTCCGTTTTGGTTGCAAATAGGCAAAATTTTGTCTATCGCATATGTGAGTACATGTATAGATGTGTGCACGCAGATATATGAAGTGGAGATTTTCCTCCTGAGAGAACTGGAAGTTATTTCTCAATTGAAGCCCAAGTCTATTCATTCTCACTTAGATGAAAAATTACTTGTGAGACCATATTATGACTTTAATTAGGAGAACTTTGGGAACAGTCCCTCAGGCTGCGGTCAGACCAGTCACAAGACATGATGTGGGGAAGGACTTGGGATTAAATTTAGTTTAGTTTTGTGGAGGTTGCTAGGGATTGCATGAATTGATGGGAAATCTGGTCTCTCTCTGCCCACCTCAAAATGAATGTATGTGCACTTATCTGTGAGCTGAAGGCCTGGGGACTGGATCTTCAGCCACAGAAAAAGTTGTGAGATGTGTGAAGTGGTGGGATATCCAGGTCTTCAATGCTGAAGTCAGTGACCTTAACTTTTGAGAAGTTCCTCATTGTGGCAAAAGGCTTTGGGGTTTTTGCAGACAAACATCTCAAGTTTAAGCATCCTTCCCTGCTAGAAGTAAGTGTATACGATAATTTGCTTACACACAGCTTGCCTTGACCTACAAGCATAAAGTTACAGTAGCTTTAGAAGAGGCATGTGTGGTTATAACCTAGTTAGTGAGGGTGAAATCTGGTGCAAGGAGGAAGGCAGGGAGGAGGTTAAGTCACTATGAAAGTAAATATGTTACCGGTCCCTTTTGTACACTGGGTAAAATGAGGTCTCTCCTTTCCTCATTTCATTTTAATGTGATTCACAGTCCAAAGCCTCTCTAAGTGCATCTGGGCTGTGCTTGGTTTTCTGTATGATTTTGTTTTCTCTTCAAACAGTGAGATGAAAATGGGTCAGGTAGTGTAAATGCAGCTAAGCAATCTGCTCAATGAGGGAAGTCAACTGCAGGACTGGGGTGTCTCTGGAGGCTTCCTTGAACGCATGTCCCAATAATTTTAGGGCTGGAGAAAGAAAAAAAAAAAAAGCTATTACTTTATAATTTGCTTGATTTCTTCCCTTTTAGCACTATAATAAATAGATATGTGACTCCTGATTCTTCTTGCATGCTTGTGGAAATCAGGACAAATTGATTTTGAGGTCTGTGTGCTCATTGGGGGTGGGACTGGGGAAACGAAATGTTTCTTTTTCTGCCTGCTCTGGTCTTCTGTAATTCTCTCCAGTCACTGGGTTCTTGGGTAGGGGTTAGGGAACAAGCCATAGTGACCTGGTTTTGCTGCTACTGCTCTCCTGTCTGCAAAGACAAGACAGCATGGCTATTTTGAGGAAGAGGCAGACAGCATGGCTATTCTGTGAGTACAGTATGTTGGCTGCTATCCAACAGTAAGATCTTCATATAACCACTGATTTATTCTATTGTAGGTATGTGTATTCCTAAACAGAACTAAATGGTGGCCATGATCATCTATCCCAGTGGGTCTGAAAAGTGCCTAACACAGTGCTGTTGGAGTAAGGACAGCAGTAAGAACCTGTTCAGTCCAATGCCTCTGAACGGTGACAGTATTGAGCCTATGGATGTGTGAGCGCTTCTCTCATGGTGCTTCATTAACTATATATCCCCACCCAATGCTGTGTGGGCATCTTTCCTCTCTAGGCAGCTGCATTTCCCAGACCCCAGAGGTTCCTTGGTGGCAGGCTGTGGAACAGTTCCTGGTGCTGTGTGAGGAGTGGTGGGGGTCATGGTTGCAGACATCTGCCCATGTTGCCATTCTCCAATGGTGTAC